TCTGCCCCCAGCATTGGGAATGTTCCTGTAGTTCATGCTGTATGATCTCTCAGTGACACTTGTGATTAGCGGTCAGTCCTCCCGCCCTCCATCACTATCATACGCGTCCCGATGGAAGGTGATCTTTGGCGCAGTGAATGATGCGCCTCACCGATCAATATCTCATTTTGTTTTTCCAAACACATATAAGAGAAGATGAGAATGTTACACGCATGCAGATCCCCCTCAGCAGGCGTATGAGGACACGTATGTATGTATGTATGCATGTGTGCGTGTGTGTATGTATGTATGTATGTGTGCGTGTATGTATGCATGCGTGTGTGTGTATGTATGTGTGTGTGTGTGTGTGTGTGTATGTATGTATGTATGTGTGTGTGTGTGTATGTGTGTGTGTGTGTGTGTGTGTAGTGTGTGTGTGTGTGTGTGTGTGTGTGTGTGTGTGTGTATGTGTGTGTGTGTGTGTGTGTATGTATGTATGTGTGTATGTATGTAGGGGTCGCCTAATCACTGCATTAGATTCAATGTGTCCCCTGATAGCGCGCGCACTTCCTGCCATCCAGATAAACATATGTGTGCGTGGATTAGCTGCATGCCATGCGATGGTTCCTATAGGCTCCTCGCCGCTCGCACGTACGGCTGTGAAATGCATTTGATGGTGTCAGCAGTTCCGCGGCGCTCGGCGTCAACACATCACCGAGTGACACCGAGCGACACGGGAGCAGCTTGGTTAACCCACCGCGTGCCGAGCACCGTCGTTACCACTTCCCGGCACAAGCAGCCGTGCGCAGCATCCATCCCGGGGAACCCGTCCACCTCTGACACAGCGCTCTACATCCTGCACCCCCCTCCCCCCCCCCCCCCCGGTCCTAATATAAACCGCGGGCCAAATAGTTACTTCTATCCACCTCTGTAGCAGGGAATTGATGCAGTGCCATTTATCAGCTTCCCTGCGAGCGCAGCAGAGGACGCATCGTCGTGGCATGTGATTCAGTCTCTCTTCATCATTCTCACATGATGGGATGAGTCAATCTTTTCATAGGTACCAGAGAGACGGGGGTGCAGGGAGGGTAGCAGGGATGCAGGGAGGGTAGCAGGGATGCAGGGAGGGTAGCAGGAATGCTGGGAGGGATGCAGGAAGGGTACCAGGGATGTAGGCAGGAAACCAGAGATGCAGGAAGGGTACAAGGGATGCAGGGAGAGTCCCATGGATGCAGGGAGGGTACAAGGGATGCAGGGAGAGTCCCATGGATGCAGGGAGGGTACAAGGGATGCAGGGAGGGTACCAGGGATGCAGGGAGGGTACAAGGGATGCAGGGAGGGTACCAGGGATGCAGGGAGGGTACAAGGGATGCAGGGAGGGTACCAGGGATGCAGGGAGGGTACCAGGAATGTAGGCAGGAAATCAGGGATGCAGGGAGGTTATCGCGTTTTTGATGCGTTCCAGGCCGGTTTTGGTTAAAAAAAATGTTTTTTTTTTTTTAAGTTTAACATGGGCTTTCAGGCACTTGCATGCGTTTTTGATGCGTTCCAGAGCAGATCCAGAGCAGGTAAAATAGGGCCTGCTGCAGTTTTTTTAACTGCTCTGGACCTGCTCTGGATCTGCTCTGGACCTGCTCTGGATCTGGTCTGGATCTGCTCTGGATCTGCTCTGGATCTGCTCTGGATCTGCTCTGGATCTGGTCTGGACCTGCTCTGGATCTGCTCTGGATCTGCTCTGGACCTGCTCTGGATCTGCACGCTGCGATGTGAACTGGAGCTCAAAATACCATTGGAATAGATTGGACGCAGTTTTGATCCGGTCTGCATTGGATCTGTTTCCGCGCTTGGTGTGAACAAGGCCTGACACACCTGATGTCACTTTGTTACATATGTACAATCCAGTGAACATGACACATATTGCGCAATATCAAACAATGAATGAATAGATCTGTGTAGGGCGCCCACCCACAGAGGGGGGCATGGGTCACCACACCAAAGAAATCCCTTTTTTGGTTAACACGCCACTTGATGACAATTTTCTTTTGCACAGTTTTCAAACAGCTTTGCTCTGGTCACATTGCTACATGTAACATACATGGGTCATATGGGCAAGGGGAAGGCTTGGGTCACCACCACTATTGGGGCCAAAGGGGTAACTATGATAGTGTTACCTTTATGGGCAAGGGGAAGGCTCGGGTCACCACTATAGGGGCCGAAGGGGTAACTATGATAGTGTTACCTTTATGGGCAAGGGGAAGGCTCGGGTCACTACTATAGGGGCCAAAGGGGTAACTATGATAGTGTTACTTATATGGGCAAGGGGAAGGCTCGGGTCACTACTATAGGGGCCAAAGGGGTAACTATGATAGTGTTACTTATATGGGCAAGGGGAAGGCTCGGGTCACCACTATGGGGGTCAAAGGGGTAACTATGATAGTGTTACCTTTATGGGCAAGGGGAAGGCTCGGGTCACCACTATGGGGGTCAAAGGGGTAACTATGATAGTGTTACCTTTATGGGCAAGGGGAAGGCTCGGGTCACCACTATAGGGCCCAAAGGGGTATCTATGATAGTGTTACCTTTATTGGCAAGGAGAAGGCTCGGGTCACCACTGTAGGGCCGAAGGGGTATCTATGATAGTGTCACCTTTATGGACAAGGGGAAAGCTTGGGTCACCACCACTATGGGGGTGAAAGGGGTAACTATGATGGTGTTACCTTTTCTTACTATTTGGACCAGGTAGGTGCTGATTGGTGCAAATATTGCAATGCCAAATAATGAACCGGTGAGCCCCTCCAAATGGCCGAGGCGCTGGCAAGACATGACTCAGGGCACAAGGGGCGAAACTTGAACGATGCCGCCAGTGCATTTCATACCCATGGCGAGCACAGAGGCAGCGGCGCTGCTCGGCTTCTGAGGTCAGGGGTTGTGTAAACACTTAATGCAGCGTGTTCTTATCCAATCCTGCAACCGAGCAACTGAGCAAACATTCAACCAAACGGTTACTGAAACCAAAATCAATGCTTTTCATAACGTCAGGACAAGCACGCCGCAAGGGTCACGACACCGGGTGGCGGCGCTTAGCGCTTGCCGGTGCAAATGCAATCAACACTCCGCAGCATCACAGACAGCCGTGGTCCGGGATCTTTCTAACATTAGAGCATTCAGCAGCATGTCAACAGAGAGAGAGAGAAGGAAAGAAAAAAAAGAAAGACTAGAAGAAAAAGAAAAACACAGGCATAGCGCCCCCTACCTGAGGACCGCTGTATCCCCTTGCCGAACCGTGATGTTGTCGGTGCTCCGGTTTAAATCCACACTGCGTACAGGCAGCCCTGTAGGAAGAAGGCAGAGTAGACTTAGCAGCAACAGCGGCAATTGATTCCTCTCTGATTGCAACCTCCAAAACATGATCACCAACTTTCACAAAGTATTTT